CCCAAGGCTGCCTGGGGCCCCTGAGCGATGTTTGCATGATCACACCTGAGACCCACCAACGGCGTGGCTCTCACACCCGCGGGGCGTCTGCGGGACCGGCAGAGCCTCGGAACGCTGCAGATCTCTAGGTTTGGGGTGGAGCCTGGGACCTGCATTTTACAGGAGATGCCGGTGCAGGGCCCAGACCCGGAGAAACCCTGTAGTTGCCTGGGCTGGGCCAGGTCCCACTGAGGCCGACAGGGTCCCCGGGGACTCAGCCAGGGAGCAGGGGAGCAGGGGAGCTGCAGAGCTCACCCTGTGAGGGCGTGGCGAGGAGGAATTGCTCCTGTCACCTTCTGGAGACAGCAGGGGTCCAGCGGCTCCCTAGGACCGACGGCCATGCTCTAAAGGCCAGGCACTGCCTCCTGGGGCCACCTGTGCCCGGAACTTTGTGGTCCCAGGTTAGAGCTGGCCCCTGCGCCCCCTCTCCCAGGAGGTGACAGTGAGCTTGTCTTGAGCTTTTTTGGTGGCCCGGCCTCTCCTTGGGCAGCCATTTGCTTGGAGAGCCAACGCTGTCCGTACCACCTGGGCCCATGCATCTGTGGGGTCCCGGGCAGCTCTCGAGACCCTATGACCCCTATGACTTAAGGATTGTGCCCGGAGTCCCTGGCAAGCCCCTCCCCTCTCAAGACTTATTCAGGTGACCCAGTGACCCCCCTTGGGCCATAAAAGTTTGGGACACAGGGGGCTCCATGATTACTCCTTATCATCGCTATGCTTCTCTTAGAATAAAACAAAAATCCCCAGACACACGCCTCTTGAAGACGCACTGGCTTTACAGTCCGAACCTGCTTAGAAAGAAAGGGGCCCAGAGAAGATGCTGAAGGCGCCGGCTCTGGCGCGACACACGGCCGTCTCGCAGGAGGAAGAGGGGGCCGGGGCCAAGGCAACGAGGAGACGTGTGGATCCCACGGAGCTGGCCCCAGGCCACTCCACAGGCCCCGCACAGGGCGTCCGGGCCGGGGGTGAAGTCCCAGGTGCGTCTCTGAGCATTTAATTCCGATTCTTCCAAATGACCAGCGGGCGATGTCAACGCCCGGCAAAGGTTAGAGAGATGGATGCAACCGACCCTCTCGAGGTGAAACGTGAATCGTTTTCTACCTTTAATAAAAACGTTTTCTCATTTGAGGCTGTGGAAGTCTTGAGTCACATTTTTTTTTTGGTAAATTCCCCCCCCACCCCTCCCCCTCTAAAATGTCTGAAAACACATGGCTTAACAGTGGCTGCACAGAAAATATACACCCTCAAAGTCTGACTTTCATTTAAATACAAATATACAAAATGTAAACTGAGGCGATAGAGAAATTTACAAAACTTTCCTTTAAAAATAATAAAGACAAAATTCAGTTCTAGTTATGATGCTATTAAAGTACGTGCAAGTCGTCGTATCCGATCGGATTTCTATTGCAATAGTCGACAGAGACAAAGCCAGTCCGCCCGGCTCGAGGGCCGCGTCTGCACAGACCTGAGTGGCACCTGAGGAGCCCGAGGCTCCGTGCCGAGGGCGGCGCCTCCTTCCTTCGCCGGCTCCGGGCGGGCTGCCCCGTCCACCCATCCGGAGTGGACGCTCCGCCGGTCACAAGTTCTGCTTCTAAGGACAGGGTCTCTAGCCTGTCCCACGTGGACTCCAAGGCCAAGCGGCAACTAGCTGCTTCCGGTGGAGTTGGAGCTGACGTGGTTTGAGTTTATGTGGTGGTTAAAACTGGTCTTGGAGTTGGGCGAACTCTTGGAATTGTTCTGATGCTGGGAGAGTGGGCAGGGGAGAGGGAGAGAGAAAGCAGGTCAGTCCCGCCGAGCCCAGCACTGCGGCCCGGGCGCCACCGGGACCCCTGAACCTGAAGACAGGGCCACGGGGCGGGGCTGCTGGCCAGCAACCTTGCTGCGTGCTGCCTTTTGCATCCTCCCTGCAGACGTGGCTGGACCCAGCAGCGGTTTTCCACCAGTTTGCCCCAGGGACACTGTCTGGAGGGAGACATTCTACAACAGGAGGGTGGGGGTGCTGCTGGCATCTGGTGGGTGGAGGCCAGAGCGGCTGCTGAGCATCACCCGGTGCATAAAGGACAGCCCCCATGACGAAGAACTAACCCAGCCTGGCCGGTGTGGCTCAGGGGTTGAGCGTTGACCTAGGAACCAAGAGGTCCCGGTTCGATTCCTGGTCAGGACACATGCTCGGCTTGCGGGCTGGATTCCCAGCAGGGGGCGTGCAGGAGGCAGCTGATCAATGATTCTCTCTCATCAGTGTTTCTATCTATCTCTCCCCCTTCCCAAAAGGTCAGTATGCCGAGGTGGAGAAAGCTTGCTAAAGGCCCTGCCCCTTCCACCCTGGGGCCCCTCAGCCAGTGGGTTTCAGGGGCTGCAGGCTGCTGCCTGCCCCATCTCCAGGCTGCTGCTGCCTCCCAGTCCCCGAGACCCACACTCAGGTGGGCTCTGCATTCTGGTCTCAACCCTGAGGACGTTCTGAGCCCACCAGGACCTGGGGGTGGGGTGGGGGGCTCTCACCTGACGCTTGAAGATTCTCTGGAACAGCCCTTTCTTCGGTGGCTCCGGAGGGTGACTCCGGTCCAGGTCTGGTGAGAGGGTACCGTTAGGTCCAAACACGTTCAGCTCCTTAAAGCATTCCGTTTCTATCATCTGGAGGAACGCAGCAAGAACGCGGGTGGCGTGAGGGCGGTGGCATCATCTGGGTGGACAGAGTCCCAGCGCCGAGCCCTGGCCCACACCGCCCTCTGTCTTCAGGGGCTGAGACCCAGACGGTGCCCACCTGCCCTCTGCCTCTCCCCTGAGAAAGCAGAAGTCGGCACCCCAAACCCACAGCCATCTCCTCCTCACCCGACCCCAGCCCAGGCCACCCACATGCTCCAGACCCTCCCATCCCAGGGCTCCAGCCCCTCCCCCGCCCCATCATTTCAATCTCATTTGATCCAACTCTGCCTCCACCTGCATCCCCTTGTGCCTGTGCCCCGGCTCCATTTCCTCCCTTCCCAGCCGAACTTCTCGTCATCTAACTGGCCTCCTCTTCCCTCTGACCCACCCATGATGCCAGCAGACCGCGGGACCCTGACCCCGCCGTCCCTGCGCCCTCCCCGCACCT